GTTTATGGTTCCAGTTCATATGATCCAACGGAGAAGGTCGCTTGGTCCCTTTCTCGTAGTGGGAGAACGATGTCACTCTGGCTCACGCCTCCTGGTACTGTCAATGGCCGGTGATGTGCTCGATGTAGATGTCCCTGGACCATCGGTTGGTGTCTGAGACCATGAGGCGCCGCATGAGCCATGCGTAGCGACGACCGATCCTGCAGGTCCATCTGCGTCCATCTGCACCTCGTAGCAGATTTAAAAATTTTATTAAGATGATGTTTTTTAAATAAAAAAAAGTGACTGGTACTAGTACTACCCAGAAAGACAAACTTGGTTCGGTGACAAAGGCGCTCGGCCAGGTTCACTGTTGACGAAGCACAGTGCTAGTGCCCTGGCCCTGTGGTTACAGGTACACTAACCTGTGTGCTCACGACAGTGGTACCCGCTCAGTGAGCAGCAGGCGTTTCGGCTGCCCCCTTAGCTGGACAAAGGTGCCCCTGCTATTATTTCTCTTATACGTTCGGGTGGCCAGTTTTGGTTGGATGTATTCACATGACATAATCTGTAATTAAAGATTAATCTTTGATTCCTGGAGATTTCAGGAGAATCCTGCAGGTTGGCAACCCTATTATAGATTGACACAACCAAGTTTTATATATTACACCTCTGAGGTGGTTAGTTACCAACCCTGCACCCAGGGCCGGCTTTAGCAAGTGCAGGGCCCGATTCCCGGGGCAGCACTTCGATTGCTGGCCGGGGGAGGGGGGGCTCGCGGGGCTGGCCGTGCTCCCGGCCGGGAGAGCGGGCCCTCGAAGATGACCGCCGCCGGGGTGAGTGCGCGGGGCCCTGTTAGGCATGAATCGGCCTAAAGCCGGCCCTGCCTGCACCTTGTACCTGCTTGTTCAAACAGAACATCTCCATCCATCATCTTGTCCTCCTGTCCTTGTCTGTGCCAACCTTCTGGACTGCGTTTCTTTGAATACCTGGTGCCTAGTACTACTTAAGGGTGCCTGTGTTTCTGCACCACTAGCCGTGCCTTTGTCAAGTTCATGTACCGGACAGTGAACGTGTAGGCAAGCGTCTGCTTTATGACAGGGCCTGAGTTTTGCTCATAACCTGGCTTTTGCTGATTTTCGTTCAGGCCTCAGGCCTTGAGTCTGGCCTTGTGCTCCAGGCTCTCTCTACTACAGGTTGGAATATGGAATGCTTTGCTGGGAACTGGGTCCCACATCGTTCTCTAACCCCAGAATTTTGGGATGAGACCCCATGCCCCAGATCCCCAACATGGTGTGGTATGGATACATATCGTTCTGATATAGGGTTGCCAGGTATCTGGTTTTCAACTGGAACGCCCGGTCAAAAAGGGACCCCGGCAGCTCCGGTCAGCACCGCTGACCAGGCTGTTAAAAGTCCAGTCGGTGGCACAGTGGGGCTAAGGCAGGCTCCGTGCCTGCCGTGGCTCCGCGCAGCTCCCGGAAGCAGCGGCATGTCTCTCCTCTGGCTTCTAGGCATAGGGGCAGCCAGGGGGCTCCGCGCACTGCCCCCACCCCAAGCACCAGCTCAGCTGCTCCCATTGGCTGGGAACCGTGCAGACGGGGCTGTGCCTCCATGTAGGAGCCACAGGGGGGACATGCTGCTGCTGCTGCTGCTTCCGGGAGCCGCCCGAGGTAAGAGCCGCTCGGAGCCTGCATCCCGACTGCCTCCTGCGACTCAAATCCCTGCCCCAGCCCTGATCCCCTTCTGCCCTCCAAACCCCTCGGTCCCAGCCCCACCCTAGAGCCTGCACCCCCAGTTGGAGCCCTTACCCCCCCCACCTCTGCCCCAGCCTGGAGTCCCCTCCCTCACTCCAAAACTCTCAGCCCTAGCCCGAAGCCCCTTCTTGCACCCCAAATCCCTCATCCCTGGCCCTACACCAGAGCCCGCATCCCCAGCTGGAGCCCACACCCAACCCCCCTGCCACAGCCCGGAGCCCCCTACCGCACCTTGAACCCCTCA